CGGGGGGCTGCGGGAGTTGGTGAGGGAATTAAGAAGCGGGGGGAACCGAGGTGCAATGAGTTGTTTGTTTGCACTCAAACTTGTTTTTTTTCATTCGGCTTATTAAAGGCTCAGAGGCAGTTTTCGCACTGCACGGCTCAGCCTCTCGGGCCGTCCCAGCTGGGGGTGGGTTCCCAGCGGCGGATCGGGTCGGAACGCCTGTCCGCAGCCTGTTCCCGGCGCCTGGTTACCTGTAGAGATGCATCAGAGCTCGCTGCTGCCACCTGCGGGCAAAAAGCTGAAAGACACAATCAGGAACCCATCGAGGGGCGGCCCCCTAGGGTCTGCTAGATACTTGGTACCCAAGGATCAAGGTTCTTTTACATCCCTAGCAACTAAGGAAAGCAACTCAAACTAATTTCCCCGTGAATGCGATGTGGAGATTCCAGGAATCTGAACCTTTGGAACGAAGTGGGGGTATATAGATGCCCAGTGCGCGAGTTATGGTTGATGGAAAAAGCATGGTTTAGGGTACCAAGTAGCGGTTCGTGAGTGGCACAGGTGGTTAAGCACTGGATCATTAACTGAAAGGTGGACGGTTCAGATCCGTTCAGAGGTTGGTCCCTCAGAAGTACAGCTTGGTGATCTGTATACTTAAGAGTGTTGTCATGAGTCCATTGACTTGACTGCACTTGAATATGCACCGCAAGCCTTTCCCACAACCTCTTCAGAGACTGAGATCGGTGAAACCATTGTGTCAGAACCTTCTGACCTTCAAATGGGGGATTTGGTTTTATGGGGGGGAAGTGTGAGGTAATTATTCTGGGAACTTCAAATCACCCCAAATGATCACATCTTTTGCATAAAGATTATGACCCTTCTAATGAGCCAAGAAACGGAATAGGGCATAGGGATTCCATCCTTCAAACGGCTGGGATTGAGTTTTCAGAAATGGTCTGTCAGTTCTGGAGAGTGAAAAGGGATTTGATTTGTTAAATTTGCGGGACGCATTCTTTACTGATATGACATTGAGTATATTTAATCACCCCATCTGTTAATTGGCTCCCTCTAAAAAGTACCTTTCCACGTTTAAGGAAATCAGAAAAGCCAAATAAGGTGTTCTTAGCTATGGCGGGTACTGGATGTTCCACATCTTTGCTGTAACTAAAGTCAGAGATAGTGTAGAAAGCGATGATGAACAAGGCAGTAAATCTAGTCACAAGTGATGTTAATTTTTGTTATCGTTTGGTGTTTGCACGCACAGCTTTCCATTTGCTGTCCTAGGATATATTTTGCATTGTCAAGCAAACAAATTTTACATTCATGTGGACCAGTGAGGTTGCTGCCATATTGCCAAGATCTGGTTACCTTTTCTTATAATAGCAGTAATGGCTTTGGGTGGCTCCGCCCATAAATTGTCATGGCTTTTTCCCTGCAACCAGAAGCAGCCTGAGAATTCTTCAGGCCATGAAGGTAAAAGGAAAGTACAGTGTTCTCTAAAGCTTCTTGGTACCCTAGTATTTCACACCAATTTTCTTTCTGCTTTGCTCAGAGCATAGGTACCCAAACTATTTAGCCTACTGCCTCCTTTTCAGGGAAAATAAAATACCACCCCCCAGCAATTAAGAATGTTTTGCACTATAGCCTATAATCCAGGACAAAGTGTCTCAAAGCCATCTAGTTGGCATAAACTCATAGTGACTCTATAGGGCAGTAGAACTGCCTGGGGGGTTACAAAACTAATTCTTCATGGCAGTAGAAAGCCTCAGTTTTCTCGTACTCAACGGCAGGTGGTTTCATACTGCAGGCCTAGCGGTTATCAGCCCGACATACGACACCCCCTCCCCCAGTCCTTCTAGCGCTCCAAAGGGGCACTATGGACCACTGTGGGGAACACTGCTCTTCAGATAAGTAACAGCCCAGAACAGTACTCACCCCATAGCAGGTGAGTGTTCGTGCATAGATGCTCCAGCTTCCTCAGTCAACAGATAGGGATCTACACATACTCTTGGCTACACCATCAGGATTCCACATGGACAGAGCACTAATTGTCCACAGTACAGTTACCCTCTCCCTCATCCACCCAGGATTAGCTTCCTTCTCTTGCTTCCTTTTACCACTGTTTTAATATTGCTTTCTGGGATCACCTTCAGAATCAACTTCATTCAAATCTTTTTGTCAAATTATTTCTGCTCCATGAGAAACCCAACCTAAAGTAATGTCCAGAGGTATTTATTCCAAATCTAGCAACACTAGCACAGCATTCTCAGGAGAATGAATCAGACCTGGTTGAATGTTGACCTTTACTGTGTGCAACCACTACCTTGTGCACTACACCCACATTGTTCCCTTTTATTCTGTCTTGGGAGATTTGACAGCCAGAAAGCTCCATAGAAAGGAGGCTGGCAGGGCTCTGTCTCTCATTCCTTTGACATGCTATCAGGAGGGAAACCTGAAAATTAGTATAATGCCCATTTTGAAGATAGAGAAACTAACGTTTAAAGAAATCAAATACAGGTTCTTTGTGGCAGAAATAGGTGTGTAAACATATTGGTGTGTCATCCAAATCTGTTTTGCAGACCATTGTACTGTTATACTGTGCAGGCACATTTTGGAATTCCCTACAAGGATGGTGGTTTTAAAATGTACTGGAAGAAGGTATTAAATGCTGCTTCAATTATCTGTTGTAACAGTCTTTCTAATTGAGTCAACTACCTAATCTATTTTTTCGATTGAGAACAATCACACACGTGTGTTATCTCTAAAGTAAATTTATACCACACCCATCAGAAATGTGTTGCCAACAAGGCCTCATGGATGAGCAGGTGCTCCCCTAAGGAATGCACTTCCATCCTTGCAGGTGACTAGAGCCTTCCTCCATTTTCTCTGCTCCATGGATCTGAGTTCCATACTGGGAGAGACAGCCTAGTTTCCCCTAGAAGACCAGGAAGACAAGGAGATATTTATTTCACTTACTATGTGTTTCATATACTGTTCAGCTATATAATGCCTTACGGGCTTTGGGTTGTCTGGTCTGGTGACATGACTATTGCTAATTACCTTGTTTCTATGGGGAGAGATGTGTTGCTTGCTCCAGACCTCCAGCTGGCTTGCCACAGTGCCCTGCCTTAAAGTACTTTTCAAGGTGGTTTCACACCCATTGTCCCATGGATCTCGGAGAACAACTAGTACTGCAGAGATTCACAGTGCAGCCCGCCCGGTCCCCATCCCGTCACCGTCAGTTGCTTCTGCTGGAGCAAAAGCTACAGCCTGGCTCTGCATCACCAATGAACAATTTAACTGTGCCTACTTTTACTCGGTCTCCATTCATGGTCTTTCAGAACACATAAAGTCATTATCTTTACAGTCGCCAAAGTAACCACTGGAAACCATCGAATAGGTTATACATGCAGACTGTTCATTGGAAAGTGCATGTATCTTAAAAATAAAAACAAAAGAATTATATGTTCAATCAGATAATCTCTCATTTTTGACAAGCCTTTTTTTAAACAGTTGGATTATAATGAACAGAAGCAATTTAACTTGATTTTACATAACATTAGATCAGTGCTTCTGAACCTTCCTAATTCCACAATGCTTTAATACAGTTCCTCATGTTGTGGTCACCCCCCAACCATAAAATTATTTTCATTGCTATTTCATAGCTGTGATTTTGCTACTGTTATGAATCAGGCAACCCCTGTGAAAGGGTCTCTCGACCCCCAAAAGGGTCGCGACCCACAGGTTGAGAACTGCTGCATTAGCTCAAGGCCATCCAAGTGATGAACTATTAAGTGCATGTACTTTGCAGTCAGATAGCCTGCACTAATCCAAGCCCCGCCACTTTCCTAAGTAATCTTGGATAAATTATTAAACTCTCTGACCCTGTTTTCTATGAAATGGAGAGAATATTAATGTAAAGCGTTATGGGGAGGATTAATTAAATGGGTCAATATACATAAAGCTGTTAGAGCTACGCCTACTGTATAGTTAATGTCGCAAATTGTTAAAACCGTTACATTCTAAAAACCTTGGTCATGGAGTCCATTAAAGAGCTCTTACAAGAAATAGAGGTAAGCCCTGGGCA